CACACCCCTGCCCCCCACCCCCTCCAAGGAGAAGTAACTGAAGCAAGCCCGTGGCTTGCTTTGAACACTTTAGTATAAAGACAGAACTTGGGGAAGGCACCTGGCAGAGCAGCCTGGGAGCAAGAGAGTTATGCGGACGGCTGGGTGGATGGAAGGGTGGACAGGTGGGTGGGTGGGTGGATGGGTGGACGGATGGGCGGGTGGACCGAAGGGTGGATGGAAGGCTGGATGGGTGGGCCGGGTGGAAGAGTGAGGCCCCGGGACCGGGCCAGGTTGTGAGCAGCTACTCCTGGCCTGGGGCGACTTGTGATATAGGTCGTGGACCCAGAGAAGCCGCTCAGCAGCACGTTGTTAAGCACAGACGTGTCCATGAGGTCTGGGGTGATGTGCTTCCTGCCAAGGTTGTGGGCCTCATTGCCTGCCAGCTCCAGGAGGTTCTTGGTGGTCAGGTACTCCACGATGGCGGCTAGGAAAACGGGTGCGGAGGCGCTGTGGCATTGGGTGTAGTGACCCTCCCGCAGAAGATGCTCCATCAGGCTCAAGGAGCATGTCACCTCAGCTCGGGGAGTGTGGGAGCGGGCCCGCCTCCTGAGGCAACACAAGGACCCTCGATGGTTCCTCCGCTCCGACATGCTGGGCAGGCGTTGGGTGAGAAGCTCTCCGGCTTCCTGCGTGCAGCGCAGATGTGGCTCCACGCAGCTCGATCGGAAGCCACGACGCGAAGCCACGGCGTGTAGCGACCAGTACGGGCCTCCGCCTCCTAGCACCCGGGCCAGCCTCCTCATTGGCCCCGGGAGTGGCCTTTGTGACACTTCCGGGTGACTGCTGGCCCCAAGGGTAGGAGGGAGCCGGGGAGCGGGAGATCCAGGGCCCGCGCCTGGGCCTAGCCACGGCCTGGCCTTGGGAGCAACTTGCTGGTGACTCACCCTCTTCACTGGGCCCTTGCTCGTTTTCTGCTGGGCAGGAACGTTGTAGGAGAGATACGGGGCAGTGTGCATGCATGTGTGCTCGTGCACAGGGTGGACGTGGATGTGACTGCGGAGGATGGCGACTGTGAGGATGGTGCATGTGACTGGGGAGGATGGCGACTGCTCTGTGGCCATCGGCAAGTACATTCACAACGTCGTCGTCCAGCCCTGTCACCACCCTCTCATTCCAAAACGTTCACACCATCCTGAAAGAAAGCTCTGCACCCATTAGGCGGCTACTTGCTCTCCCTCACGGCCCCATCCACACACTACACACGTCTCACTCTCTCTCTCTCTTGCGCGCGCGCGCACACACACACACACACACACACACACACACACACACACACACACCATACTCCCAGTGGCCCCTAGCAAGCAGTAGTCTGTCTACTTTCTGCCCAGAGAGGTTCGTCCATTCTGGAGATTTCTTTAGGTGGAATTATAGCCTGAACCTGTGGCCTCTCATGTCTGGCTGCTTTTGACCTACCATGATGTCTTCACTAGGGTTCAACCACGTTGGAGCATGAATTTGGTACCTCACTCCTTTTTCACAGCTGAGTGATATTCCATTGTGTGAATATGCCAGGTTTCCTTTATCCACTCTTCCGTGGATGATCAGGTGATGTCCACCTTTTGGCTATTGTGACTAGCACTGCCATGAAAATTCCCATGCAAGTTTTTATTTGAACACCCGTTTTCCATTACTTTGGGTCAATATCTAGGAATCAACCTGCTGGTTCACCTGGTAATTCTGTATTTAACTTATTGAGGAGCCACCCAGCAAACTGATTTCCATAGCGGCTTACCCTTTTACATTCTCAACAGCAGTGTATGAGGGTCCCAGTTTCTCCATGTCCTCAACAAAGCCCGTTGTTTTCTGTTCACTTCATTTTGTTTTGTTTATAACCACCCTAGTGGGTGTGCGAAGTGCTATCTCATGGTGATTTTGATTTGCACTTCCCAAATGGCTGATGATGTTGAGCATCTTTCCGTGCACTTCTTGGCCATTTGTACGTCTACTCTGGAGGAATGTCTAGTCAAGTCCTTGGTCCATTTTTAAATTGGATTGTCTTTTTGCTGTGGAGTTCAAGTTTTTAAAATATTTTGGAAAATAGATCCTTATCAGATATGTAATTTGCAAATGTCTTACTCACTCTGTGGGTTCTCCTTTCACTTTCTAGAGTTCTTTGATGTACAAAAGATTTTAACTTTGATGGCCCAGCCGGTGGCATGGTGGTTAAGGTGCCTGGATCCCTCATGGCTGACTGCACCGTTCAATCCTGGACCCGGCAACTTGAAAAACACAGTGGTCACGTGTGTGTGTGTGTGTGTGTGTGTGTGTGTGTGTGTATGACTAAAATCCTGAGAGGAGAATAGAGGAGAAAGGATTGTGGCATGGCCACCTCCTCCTTCTCCCCCCTCCCCCCCGGGAGTGATTTCGCATTTTCCCGATGGCCCAGCCGGTGGCATGGTGGTTAAGGTGCCTGGATCCCTCATGGCTGACTGCACCGTTCAATCCTGGACCCGGCAACTTGAAAAACACAGTGGTCACGTGTGTGTGTGTGTGTGTGTGTGTGTGTGTGTGTGTGTGTATGACTAAAATCCTGAGAGGAGAATAGAGGAGAAAGGATTGTGGCATGGCCACCTCCTCCTTCTCCCCCCTCCCCCCCGGGAGTGATTTCGCATTTTCCCTCTTGGTCTCTTTCTCTCCCTCTCTGCCTCTCTCCAGTGAGTGCACACACCCTATAGCAAAAACAAAAACAACAACAACAAATTAATTTCTAGGAAATCCAATCTGAAAAAAAAAAATAAAGCCCTTTTGTGGCTTCACTCTTGGCATCATATTTAAGGAACTGTTGCCTAATCAAAAGTCATACGGATTTACATCTGTGTTTTATGGTTTCAGCCCTTACCTTTAGATCTGTGATACACTTCGAGTTAATTTTAATTTTTTTTTTTTTACATGGTATGAGGCAGGGATCCAGGTTCATTCTTCTGCATTTTGCTATCCCATTGCTCCAGCACTATTTGTTGAACAGATTATGCTTTTGCCTGTTGGATGGTGTCTTGGCACCATTATTGACAATCAACTGTACATAGGTACATGGGTATTTTCCTGACTCTTAAGTTCTGTTACATTGACCTATATGTCTACCACAATGTCATGGATTACTGTAACTTTGTAGTGAGTTTTGAAAATATTTGTGTGAGTCCTCCAACTTCATTCTTCTTTTTTGAGAGTGTTTTTGGCTATCTGGGTTTCTCACATTTCCATGTAAATTTTAGGACCTGCTTGTTGATTTTTGCCAAGATGGTAGGTTGAATTCTAACAGGCATTGCATTCAATTTGTATATTGTCTTGGAGATCATGGCCATCTTGATAAAACGTGAAGTGTTCCAATATAGTAACATGGAATGCCTTTCCATTTTTTTAAAGGTCTTCTTTAATTTCTTTCAGCAGTGTCTTGTAATTTTCAGAGTCCATGTCTTTAGTTAAATCCATTCCTCAGTATTTTATTCTTTTTGGTGCTATCATTAATGGAATACTTTTCTTAATCTTATTTTTGGATTGCATATACAAATACAACTGATTATTTCACATTTATCTGGGATCTTGCAACGTTGCTAAGCTCATTTATTGCATATTAGAATATAATTTTGGGGTTTTCTCGTGTGTGTGTGTGTTCTTCAGTGTTTTCTGTATGTAAGAACGTGCCACCTGTGAATAGAAATAGTTTGACTTGTTCCTTTCCTCTCTGGATGTTGTTTATTTGTATTTCTTGACTAACTGACCTGACTAGAACTTTGAGTACAATGTTGAATAGAGGTAGCAAGAGAACACATCCTTTGTCTTCCTGATCTTGGGGGAAATCACCCAGTCATAGATACCCTTTATCAGGTTGAGGAAGTCCCTGTCTGTTCCTGGTTTGCTCAATTTATTTTTGTAAATGGGAGGTGGGATTCTGCCAAGTGCTATTTTTCTGGCACATGAATGCAATGGTCGTGAGCCCCTCACCCCTTGCATTCTATTAATATGTTGTATTACATAAATTGATTTTCATAGGTTTAACCAACATTACAGTTGTGAGATTAATCCCATTTGGTCGTGGTGTATAAAGAATGGGCAAGGGACCAGCAGTTAGTGTAATGGCTATGTCACTGGACTCCCACATAGCTGACCGCAGTTCGAGTCCCAGACCCGGTGGCTTAAACTCATGCCGGGCGCGTGTGCATGCGTGCCCAAGATCCCAAGAGGAGAATGGAGGAGAAGTAGTGTGTGTGTGTGTGTGTGTGTGTGTGTGTGTGTGTTGGGGCAGGCTGAGATTAGTTCATTAAGGCTGGGGATAAGGGTTCCAGTGGAAGAGTGGTGGTTGATGGAGAAGAGGTAGGCAGAAACCAAGACACGGAGGTTCTGTTATGCCATCCTCAAATTTTGGAATACCCTGTAGACTACAATGAACTCACTGTGCTCTTCAAACATAGGGGTGGTATGCCCTGATTTGGTTTTAGAATGATCATTCTGGAAACTGTGTGAAGAACCGAGCAGAGAGGATTGAGATTGGAGTTAGAAAGATGCTGCAGTATCCCAGTCAAGAAGCGATAGATATACCAACTAAGACAATAATGGCACTGGTAGATAAGACCAGGGAACAGACTCAATAAAAAGGTTAGGTAGTGGGACCAGCAGTTAGCGTAATGGCTATGTCGCTGGACTCCCACGTAGTCGACCACGGTTCGAGTCCTGGACCCGGTGGCTTAAACTCACACCGGGCGTGTGGGCATGCGTGTGTGCCCAAGATCCCGAGAGGAGAATGGAGGAGAAGGGGTTGCGGCGTGGCCACCCCCCTGGGGGGTGATTTCTCGCTTTCTATCTCTCTGTCTCTCTCTGTCTGTCTGGCGAGCGCACACACCCTATAGCAAAAAAACCTCTTCAAAAAAAGAAAGAAAGAAAAAGGTTAGGTAGTAAAATGTCACATCATAGGCTCTCACTACATATTTTTGTGCTGATGAACCTAGCTGGAGACTTGATTCATTTGCTCATTCTTTCAACAAATATTTACTGAGTGCCTAGTATATGCCTGGGACTGTGTTAAGATATTGGGGAAATAACCAATGAACAATATAGGTCAGGTCCCTGCAGAGAGTCTGATGGAAGATACAGACAAGACACCTGAAAATTGCAACACTGTACTGTGGTAAGTGCTAGGGGAGAGGAAGTTCAAGATGCTATAGGGGCACACAGGAAAAATACCTTACACAGACCTGTGGGGTTGAGGAAATGTTTGTGGAGAAAATTGGTGTCCTAGCTGAAACTTGAAGAATGAGTAGAAGTTAGCCAAGTGGAAAAGTAGGGTGTTGGTTAGTGGTGGGCACAGGGGGGTGGGGGTAAGAGAAAAGGCTCCAGCATGATTCCCCATGGGTAGAGTGAGGTGACAACAGACTGTGGAACCATTACTAGAAATATGGGATGAAGGAGAAGATCCAGGTATCAGTAGGAAGACAAGTTCATGTTATGGTCTGTGAAATTTGAGATGCCTGTGGTATATCCAGATGGACATGAGAGAGATATATGGCTTGGGAGTTTAAGAGTGCAGTAAGGACTGGAAATATAGATTTGGGAGTCATCAGCTTAGTTAGTTTGTGAGGCCATCCATAAATGTAGTGGAGACCATGCTGGAAGAGAATATATAAGGGGGGATCAAAGACAACTTTTGAGGAACAGGCAAGAGAAGAAAAATCTCCTAAGGAGTCTGAAGGAGTAGCTTCACGAAGAGTAAGAGTGAGAATGAGAGAGATGAAGAATCTAGCCAAAAGGAGAAGAGAGCAAAGGAAGCCAGAAGGAGAGTTGCGCAAGAAGGGACAAACTCAGGAACACCTGCTGAGTTTCAGAATGCTAAGCATTAGAATGTATTCACTGAGGGCCAGCCCTAGAGACTAATGGTTAAGGGAGCTGGGTCTCACACGGCTGACCAGAATTTGATTTTGAAAAACATGCCAAGTGTGTGTGCGTCCACATGTCCAAAATCCAAACAGAATGGACAAGTGGAGGAGAAAGGATGCCTCTTTGGGGGGCGGGGGGGGCGCCCTTTTTCCCTCTCCTTCTCCCTCTCTCCCTTTCCGTCTCTCTCTGG